AAAAAAAAAAAAACCATGAATTACCTCGTTTGCGAGGCCCTATACTTGCAGGGGTCCCCTCTATATACTCTTAGGTAGGTAGGTAGTGTGAGGTGAATTTGACAGAAGAATATAGCTTTACAAAGAAGAAGAACAAAAAAGGAAAAAAAAAGTCAGTTTTCTTCTCTCAAATTCAACTTTGCCTACCAACCTATAACTACTCCGAAAGCAGAATAATCGTTTCCGCTCAAATGAATTTGGTCGCTCCGTTCCCTTCCCTTTCATCCAAGCGCGTCGCAGATCATATCCTGCCGCCGCAACTCTGAATAGGTACTGGTGGCTTGAAGCACTACGGTCTTCCACGGAACATAACGCACCCTAAAAATGAATAGATACAAGCCATATGTCCGGCCAGATACAGCCAAAATAAGGGTGCGTTGTGTTCGGGGGAAGACGGAAGCACACAGCCCCCTGCCTTGCAGTCAAAACGCGTGGCCACAAGAAAAAAAAAAACGTTGGGCCCGCTGTTGATAAATTGGATCAGCGGTCACTTTTTTTTTTTTGTTTTTTTTTTTTTAAGAGAAAATTACGGCGCAGTCACGGTTAGAGTTTGAAAATGGCCGAGATGTCTCGGCCACACCCCAGACTGGCCACGCCACACCCCAGATGGGCCACGGCTGAGATGTCTCGGCCACAGCTGAGATTAAACCACCCCTACCTTTCACGAACTCTCAAAAGTAGGCCTCGTGCCAGGGATGGAGGCCCAAAAAAAAAAGGAAAAGAAAAAGTTCAAAAAAAAAGAAAAGAAAGGAGGAGCTCTCCCCACGAAGTTACACAAGTCCTTTGAGGAATGTATCTGGCCAGGATTTGAGGACCGTGAGACATGTCTTTTTTTTTTGTTTGCTTTTTGTTCTGAGGTCGTAGGGCCCTGCCAGCCAGGCAGGGCGGATTCCACGCGAGGCAGCTAACTGCCTCGCTTCATTTTCGGTAAGACAAGTACTGTAGCATCCTGTATCGGACCGCAATCACAGCATAAGGGATGCTGTTTTTCCTTTTTTTTTTTTCAACTGCTGTTCGTGGATAGACGAGGGCCCTGACTGAAGGCAGCCCGAGTTTGAACTGGATTTCAAACTCGAGCCCTGACTGAAGTGCCAAAACGCAGTTTGAAATGCATTTACAAACTGTTTTCGTGCCTGCGCCGTAGTTACCCCTTTATTTTAAAGAAGTCGCAGTTTGTATTATAGAAAATTGGAGAACTGAGGCCGGGAATCCCTCAACATCTCAACCCGGAATTCCTGGAGCCAATACCCAGTTTAGGCTTTACTGGAAACCGGGTCCAGTGTCCCATGTACGGCAACTTCAACCAAAAAAGAAAATCACAGCTGGACTAACAAATTCCAAAACCAGAAATAAGAGAGGCAACCACTAAGCAAATTAACAAGTTCTTCTGCTATTCTGACTGGGAGCCTTACCCAGCTTGGCTTAAAGATATTACAGAAAAGAGGACAGTTCTCAGACTACCTCCAATGAAGAGACCTTGCTTACATTGGCAGGAGACCATAGCCTAATGTGAGTAGCCAAGAAGCGACAAATACCCAATGATCTAAAGCTAACTACAGAGTTCTATCTGGAGCAGGTGATTTGCAGAAATCCGAAGGAAGATCCATCAAAACCAAAAGAGAGGCCCGTCGGACCAGCTAATAGCCATGTGGAGCCGGAGTTGTCATGACGAGGTTTCCCACCTTGTACCCTTGAGACTCTGTAGAGAGTACCGTATTCCAGGTACTCTAGATCTCAATGGGTACAACCCAGATTTGCTCTTTTATCAGCTAAATGCTAATCGGTCGTGCCCTAAGTAGCTCAGCAACGCTGCCACAACCACTAGTAGATCTCCCACTACCTCCAGTCAAATTGCCTGCTACGGACAAGCCCAGTATAGTATCCCGCGCCTTGCTGCCGACGCAGAGCGCCACCGTTTCCAAACCGCAGTATCATCGGTAGCGCAGCGCTTCCACAAAGCCCTCCCATTCCCCCCCTGCTCGGATATTTTGGCTCCACGGTCGCTTATTCATTTCGCACTAAGGGCCAGATCCCACTGGCAAAGAGGATTGGAACGAGTGTGTGAATCTGGACGTCTTTGTGGCGAGGTGCAGAAAGCTGTGATTGATCTGCTTTGCTGCATCTCTCCATGGAACACGTCCAGATTCAGACACTTATCCCAATCGACTTTGCCAGTGGGATCTGGCCCTAGGTCTTTCAGAATTCTAGGTGTCACGCCCGCCGCCCAGGTGCCCATGTACTGGTGCTTTCAACCCCATGACCCCATAAAAATAGGCCCACAGCCCAGGTGCCCACCCATGTACTGGTGCTTTAAAACCCATTGACCCCATAAACATGGCTAATTCAGAGACTCATTTCTCTACTGAACTTCTGTTTTTTTTTTTGAGTTAATTATATCCACCAGAATTGAACTCACGATCTTTATCTCAGGAACCTCAATCTCAACAGCCAATTTCATATGCATTCCCATGGGCCATGATTCCACTAAGTCTTAGCTATGTGGCTACCGTCTTGCTTCTTCTTAAACGATTCTGACCATAATAGTGAAGGGCCTAAGGGCCTAATCTTCACTTTCATCTCCTCTTTTCCTATTCTGACTACTGTAAGGGTTATTCTGAATAGCCATTGACTATATTGTTTAGTGAAGGGCCTAAGGACCTCATCTTGTTCTGACTACTGTACAAAACATGAAGAGTTTTTCTGAATAACTGCCATTTCATCAAAATGGACATCTTTTATTTTTCGAATGAAATTGAAACTGAGTTTTTTGGCCGAAAACTCGAAAAAAAATGCTGTTCCTGAGGGTCCAGCGCTGGACCCCCTGGCTGTACATGGACCTAGCTTGAGACCAGGCACTTCCAGGCAGTCCTGCCTGGAGGTGCCTGGTCTCAAGCTAGGTCCATGTACAGCCAGGGGGTCCAGCGCAGCATTTGTAAAACGCTGGACCCTCAGGAATAGCAATTTTTTTCGAGTTTTCGGCCAAAAAACTCAGTTTCAATTTCGTCCAAAAACTAAAAAATGTCCATTTTGACGAAATGGTCATTGAATAGCCATTGCCTATAAGACAAAAGTTACTGTAGTGAAGGGCCATTGACTACAAGACAAAGTTACTGTAGTGAAGGGGCCTAATCTTCTTTTCCTATTCTGACTAGGATACAAAACATGAGCGATTATTCTGAATAGCCATTGACTCTAAGACAAAAGTTACTGTAGTGAAGGCCCTGAAGGGGGCCTAATCTTCACTTTCATCTCCTCTTTTCCTCTTTCTGACTACTACTGTACAAAACATCAAGGGTTATTCTTCACTTCCAACACCTCCACCTTTTTCTCAATAATTTCCTGTTCTGAGACTATTTGGGTCGTAGATCAAATCTATCGAGAAAGTCGAGGACAACACATCATTGGTCCTTACCTTCTCTCTCTCTGATTTGTCTCTTCCCGAACCCCTTCCCTACTGTCACCAGGCAATAATCCCCCACCTCTCCCATCTCCATCTCCATCTCCATCTCCCTCACCTCGACTACCTCCTCCTGTCATTATAATTACAGACTGAATTTCAAACACCATGTATGCAATTTCCTAATTCGTCTCTAAGACTTCAATCTGCTGCATTTCCTAATTCGACCAAGCCTTCCCCTTCGCTGACCATGAGACTATCTTCACCAGGACAATAGTGTCCTCACGTGGACACCAACTCGAACAGTATTCATTGTAGGAAAATTATGGTGCATGGTACTGCATAGTACATACAAAGGAAGGAGGACGTTAGGGAAGGGCCGGCCAAATCGTGACCAAATTGGCGAGGGAGGAGACTCTACAGCGTCTCCACCTGGACAACCGTTACGACCAGGTACAATATATCGGAACCTTCATTTATCCTCCCCTATCTCCCTCCCACCCTCCCTCCCTCCCTCCCTCCCTCCCGCCATCCCTCCCTCCCGACCATCTCTCCACACAAAGAGTAACCATCACAGCACCCTCCTCCCCAACCTTCGTCTCCATCAAATGGCCCCACTAAGGGGCCCCATCTGACTCCATTATCATGAACATCACAGCGCACGTACACCAGAAGACCCTTCCTCTCTACGACGGAATCTGCAAGGGGGTTGTCATGATGGATGAAAAGCCTGTTCCCTCTTGCTCTTCCCCTTCTCTCCCTCTCCCTCCACCGGGTTAACGCAAAAAATTATTTATTTATTTTAGTCATATATTTTTTAACGCTAAAATTTAGAGGTCGTCCCTCGAGTGAATCGATTCTGAGCCTCCCTCTTGGTCTTCCCCTTCTCTCCCTCTATTCTCTCCCTCTCCCTCCCCCCGGTTAACGCAAAATTTTATTTTTTTAATATATTTTTAACGCTAAAATTTCAGAGGTCGTCCCTCGAGTGAGTCGATTCGGAGCCTGCCATGACTGGGTCAGTCTTTTTTTTTTTTTTTTTTTTTTTTTTTAACGCTAAAATTTCAGAGGTCGTCCCTCGAGTGAGTCGATTCTGAGCCTGCTCTGACTGTGTCAGTCTTTTTTTTTTTTTTTTTTTTTTTTTAACGCTAAAATTTCAGAGGTCGTCCCTCGAGTGAGTCGATTCTGAGCCTGCCATGACCGTGCCAGTCTGCGATTTCTGCAGCAGCCTCTTCGCCTTCTCTTCAGAAATGTCAAACGCAGTGCCCAACAACGCGGAATCCACATCGTGCAGCACGGACGTTCCACCTGCAAGGAAGTAAGGGCGCGCTGGCTTCGAAGTCGTAGCGACCCCCACAAACTCAAACGGGTCATCCCCTAACGCCACGTGTACCACAGGATAGAACCGCGGGACCACAAACAGGTCCCCCTTCTGAACCTCCTCCCTGATCGCCGACGTTCCGTTGGGAGAAACCACTTGTACCAATCCGCGGCCTGCCGTGACCATGCCCACCTCAATCGCATCAGGATTCCAGTGCGGCAGCAGCATACACCCCTTGGACAGTTTCACTCGAAAGACCCCCATGTCAACGTGCTTCAGGAAGGCCAGCTTCTTCTCATCGACGACCGTGGACCATCCCTTGTGGCTGGAAAAGTCAGCTCTGCTCTTCTCTACGTTGTACGGACTCTCCACCCACCACTTGTTGGCAGACGGGGGCAGTCCCTCCTCTTCCTCCTCCTCCTCCTCCTCCTCCTCCTCCATAACCTCCCCCTCCATAACCTCTCCCTCCTCTACCGTGCTCTCGGAAGAAGTACTTAGCTTAGGAGCCCGTCGGTCGTTCAGATAGACTATGTCCCCGAAAGAATGAGACGTCAACAGGCTTTCCAGCTCGTCCCGCTTCACGTGCAGCGCCGCCTCCAGTATCTTCTTATCAAATCCTCCCAAAATGGAGGTAGGCACTTCTCCACCCCCAATAGAAAAGCGCTTGGCCCGCGCGCCTTCAGCACCCTCTGCCACGCTGGACAAGCCGAACAGCTCCATCACCTCCTCGCCCTCGGGATTGACGAAGAAGACCATGTGTCCCGACGGCACGCCGTACACGTCGGATCCCGACAGTGTCTTCACGTAGTGCTTGCCTTCAAGATGAAACTCCATGCGCCCACGTCCTTGAAGGACGAAGAAGACCATGTCGTAGTTGCAGTACATGGGCAAGCTCATCGCATTCGAGTTGATTCTGAGGATCCCGATCCCGATCTCTCTATGCCGGTGAGTGTTCACACTCAACCTCCACGTGGTCACGGACCCCGCCTCCGAGTCAACGACGACCCGCGGGTTTCCCACGAACGCCTGAAATCCCTCGAATCTGGTCTTCTCGGACACACTACCATCTCTGACATCTCCTCCTCCACCTCCCCTCTCCCCATCCGGGGCGAAATCCACAGCTTCAACTATGATCACGTCTTCCAGCCTCTCCTCAGAGTCCCCGGTTTCACCGTGACCATCACGGTGACCCCCCAGGCTATTCAGGCGCAGGAAGGGGGGAGCAGCCGTAACCCCCCTAGACCACTCACCCTCACCAGATGGTGTGTTATTTCCACCCTGGTAGCCAGCAAGACCCCTCTTACCATCCACAGGGGTGACAATAAGACAACAGACACACAGCCCAGCAACGACGGCCGCCATCGCCAGCCAGCTCCGACATGGCTGGCGGGCACTTCTTCCAGCCATCGCGAGCCCGACGACAATTGTCGGGATTCCGACGACACTTCACCGCACAACTCAGAGACTGGGGTCGGGGTCTGTCGTCGCGACCTCGAGGTCTTGGCGGCCGACGTCGCCGCGGTCAACCAGCCAATCCGTTGCTCGAGTAAGTCGTCGCGATCGCGATCCCCACGAGGTCCTTGCTCCTTCCTGAAAGAAAGAAGAAGAGAGGTGTGCTCTCCTCCTCCTCCTCCTCCTCTTCTCGCTCAACCTCTCTCTTCTCCCTCTCCTCTCTCTCTCTCCTCTGTCCTCCCTCCGAACGCTATCCTGCAATGACTTCTCGCACACTCCGCCAGCTACCCCCTGAGAATGCCTTTATCCAACTATAGAGGGTTCTGCTGTCCCTATCACTGCTACTATCGTCTTCACCCCAATAGAATGCCCAGTCATTATACCTGTATTTGGAACAACTTTCAGTCCAGATGCGGTCATACTGACCGGGCGTTCTATTCCGAATCGGGTTGCCAATGACTTCCGATAGTGCGGGTCCGATGGACAGTTGACACGCAATGGCTGGGCCCAATGCGATGGGCAGCAGTCCCAATGCGATGGGCGGCAGTCCAAACGCAATCATGGTGGGATGTGGTTTCTGAATACGTTCCAGTTGAACCGAACCAGACCCCTACTTAAGCCGCCCGTACCTTTCTCATACATCGGCCGCGGGCCGTGCGGCGCGCCGAGAGCTGCATCTGGCATCTGGCCACCACCGCCGCCCGCGTGCGGCCTCTGTGTTAACCGCCGCAGTCTCTCCTTTCTAGCGGGGAAAGGTACTGGCGGTTTAAGGTTGTTTGAGCATTCAAAGCAAACGGTAACCCCCCCGTTGTTAGTCATCTCGCACTGACCCGCCTCATATGCCTCATGGAATGTCTAAGGGCCTTGCCAGGCCACAACCCGGCCTCAGGCCGAAGGGGCAAAAGACCCCCCAAGTGCTGCCAGGGCCTGACTCCTGAGAGCTCGACAGTTGACTTCAGTCAACTTCCTGAGGCGCAACAGTCAAAGTCAAAGTGTACCCAGCCCAGGCTGCCGGTCAGACACACACACTTGTTTGTATGCAGGTACCAGGACAGCATTAGGACCAAGTGGAAGTCTACAACTGTATGCGATCCAGGCCCTCTGCTGTGAGTCAATCTGAGCCACCGTGAGTGGGAGACCTGAGGCAGGTGAACTCGGTCTGTCAATACATAAGACCCTGCCTCCACGAAGTCAAAATTCAGTCTGGCTATGCTGACTTGACCCTGGCTGGACGCTGGCTTGATGCTGGCTGGACACTGGCTTGACACTGGCTGGACACTGGCTTGACGCTGGCTGGACGCTGGCACTGTGAATGACTATGCGAGACTGCTGTTGCATGCTGGCGCCTTCCTTCTCTGGCGCCAGCCTTTGCTGCCGTGGCGCAGGGCCACGCTGTCTTCAACATTTCTGATGTGGCGCATGCCACTCTGTATTCATTGCTGACGCGGCATTTGCCATATTGTCTACCTTGCTGAGTTGGACGCGACAAGAAGGGAGATCGGGATCTGTGGTCCTGTGGATGATTGAGAGAGATTGGGATACTTACCCTGAGGTTGATGTCGATACTGTGCGCTGCTGATTGTCTCCAACGTCTTCACGAGAGAACAGTGCCACGTGGCACTTCGATGTGATCAGGACCTGTCAGGCTCGTTACTGGATACTGTTTTGCTGATGTGGAGGCGAGGGGAAGCCCGGAGAAGGAGTGGGAAATGTTGGTCTACTCTCTTGGTGGTCATTGATGTTTACTATCTCTTCGACCTTCTAATCTGTCTATTCCCCCTCCAATCTCTTGGTCTTCTCGAAACGAGACATTGTATCAGAGATCACATTCAGGATTATTATAGAAATTGATCAGAGTTGAGTTACTTTTTATTTCCACATCTGGCGAGTATCTTCCGGACCGGATTCGTAATTATTGCAATCTGAGCGTTTGGTTTACCTTCTTCCCCTTCTTCCCCCGAATACANACATCTGGCGAGTATCTTCCGGACCGGATTCGTAATTATTGCAATCTGAGCGTTTGGTTTACCTTCTTCCCCTTCTTCCCCCGAATACAACGTACGGTCGTTATAGCTGTATTTAGACTGAAAGATGCCCCTGATACAGCTCTAATTACCGTACTACGTTGTATTCGGGTGACGAAGGTAGTGGTATGATGCTCGCTTTGGGTGCGACAAGTCCTCAGTTCAATTCTCGGAATCGCCCCTTCGTAATGTTAGTGTGCTTTGCTTCCAGATCCCGTAGTTGTTGCATGTATGTAGACTAACGTAGTTACAAAAAAAAAAAAAAAAAAAGTAGTTACAATATCCTGCTGAGTGGTGAGTGGTGCCAGAGTACGTTCTCTCAATGACATGTACTGAGCGCCTTATTGCAGGCAGGGGGAGGCCGGACAGTCTTCACACCTCATTGCAGGCAGGAGGATCAAACCTGCTCAGAGTCTTTGCTTCCACATTCCTGGCCCAGTCACATGAAACCTACTGTCTTCCCGCAAATAGGAAGTTATTGCTGTATGTAGACTGGATGTTTCTCCCAATACAGGCATAATGACTGTACATCCTTTTTTTGTTTTTTTTTTCTTCGAAACAAGGGCCCAGTGCCCAAGGCTGATATTATGAAATTGAATACACCGCAGACAGACAGACGCCCTCTTCCCATTAGGGCTGGAAGAGCCTCGGCCGCTTCTCCCACAGAGACAGCTTCCCTGGACGACAAGAATGAAGATTGAGCGCTGAGCACTGACTGCTTCACCAGGAGGGAAGGATTAACTCAGCCCCATTGACAGTCATTACTATGCTGAACCACCAATGATCAGTCCCTACAAAGCAAGCTTTTGGGGGGGATATAGCAGGGGCACAGCAGTACATGGGTACTACATCCTATTCTGTATTTGAACTGAAAGTTGGCCCCAATACACTGCCAGGCGTAATGACCATATATTACATTCTATTTGGCGGCACAAGACGGTGGTCACATGTCTTGAAGTTCGCACATCATCATGATCATTGCACACCTCCTACCTGCTCTTTGCTTCAACATTCCTAGCCCAGTTGCATGTACCTAGTCACATCCATGTACCGCTGTGGCCAAGTGTATGGAGCACATTCTTGCATGCACTCACACATGTGCAGGTAGTTCTCTGCGCTCTCATTGCAGGCAGGAGTGTTAGAACCAAAGTCCTATGCACCTCTTTTTTTGCAGGCGCTCAGCGGAGGGCACACAAAAAATGAGAAAAGACCACATCCTCACGTCGTCTTTCTTTGTGACCCTGGGCCCGTTTTTGCTGCAGCCTGGGGGTGAGTGAGGTGTCACTTACCCAGATTCTCAATTTCTGACCATGGATTCTAAAAATCAATGGCCAGAAACGAAGAATCTGGGAGAGCCGGGTCACGTCCCAATGTCTGTCTGTCTCTGTCTGTCTCAGCCAGGCCTTTGTGCCATGTCAGCCTGACCCCTATGCCACGTCAGCCTGACCCTTATGCCACGTCAGCCTGACCCTTATGCCATGTCAGCCCGACCCTTATGCCAAGTCAGCCCGACCCTTATGCCACGTCAGCCTGACCCTTAAGCCACGTCGGGCAAACTGTTATGCCACGTCAGCCTGACCAGATGCTTGCTCGACCCCCTTGTCACATTGCACAGGAGGTAAACTACGTGTTTATTTACCAGACCCCTCCCCCGTGCAGCTCTTCCTTCATCATTCAGCTTCAGTCTTCTCTCGCCGTGAGCTCTGGGGTAAAGCCCGATCAAACTTACCTTAGACTCTAAAGCAGTGTTCATCGGACTTCATCACATCTGTTTTTTTTTTTTTTTTTCCAGGTACAAAGTTCAAACCGCCCCGATTAATGTGCTAGATCTCTGCGGAAAGTCGCAGTGACATCTGTTTTTTTTTTTTTTTTTTTTTTAAAAGGCTAGTGACGTCTGTTCAAACTTCACAAAAAAGTTTCAGAATTTGTCATTGTAAAGACTGAAAGCAAGGCTTCAGAAAAGAATATAGAAAAAAGAAAAAAAAGAAAACGAAAAGACCGAAAGCAAGGCAAGTGCTGAGACTTGAATAGCCCCTCTTTATGTTTGTGTTCTCCTCCCTTTGTTAAACCCCACCAGTACCTACGGGCCGGCGCTGCCGTTAACACGTAAGAAGCCGAATCGGCTTGCCCCCTCCGGTCCAAATTCATTCCGAATCGGCCTGCCCCTCCCGTCCAAATTCATTCCGAATCGGCCTGCCCCTGCGGTCCAAATTCATTCCGAATCGGCCTGCCCCTCCGGTCCAAATTCATTCCAGGGCGGGGGAGGTACCGAAAATGCCGCAGGTGCAGCTGGTTTAACCTTGAGTTTGAACTCTGAACCTCTCATTGTTAACTCACAGCAAGTCAAGTTCTGACTCCGTGGATCCTCCTCCTACTCCAACTGCTAAATAACGACCAGCACACTGAATTGCTCTGCACTCCTTAAAAGTTTTTGCAGGAACACCCAGCTCAGAGTCTGATCTGTCTTCACCCGAATAGAACGACCGGTCAATATTGAAGTATCTGGACCCAAAGTTAGCCGAAATACAGCTATATTGACCTGGCGTTGTATTCGAGGTGAAGACGGTAATAGTAGGGAGTCAGAGCACTGCGGCCATTGATGCAACGCCTGCAACGGACAACTGACGACCATGAACCACTACCGTCTTCCCCCGAACATAACGCACCCTGAAAAGGAAAGTATACAAGGTATGTTTCCGGCCAGATACAGTCAGAATGAGGGTGCGTTGTGTTCGGGGGAAGA